TTTTTTAAAAAAAAATATATTTTTAGTGTTATTTTCACTACTATTACTATTAAGTCTGAATTCCGAGGAGTGCAGGTGTGAAAGATTTGTGACACGGCATTGAATCGGCCTCCACTGAAGAAAGCCGCGATGTAAGACTTTCACCCTTCAAGGGTTTGTACAGCCTCAGGGTATATGGGAGCAGAAGGATCTAGGTTTGTGTCTTTCCAGGGCGGCTGGATTCATGGCGGCGTATGCGTGGGAACTCCAATCTCGGGAAAATGCCCCGCAACCCGAAATAACCATAAGTTTGACCGAAAAGTAAAGGCCCTATTCTTGAGAGAGATACATTTACCGTTGGTAGCATGTGCATGTCAGGTAGACCCCCGTCCCATTATCGCTTGCAGTTATTACAGGGTGGAGGCCTAAACCCTGAATTGCGACATTTCACGTTTGCCAGGGCATCCCAGGCTCCTGCCCATCCTTTCTGCAATTGGCGGAGCTTGCAGATGCCTTTGCCGCCCTCAAGTTCCAGGCAGCTTTCGGAAGATCACACGGTGGGGTCCCTGAGTAAGGGACCTCTTATAGACCCCAAAATACGATAATCTTATCATTGGGATCCCCCGAACGGTACCCCTAATTCTCGGAAACCCTCACATTCTTCCTGGAAAGGGTCCTACTAGCATCATGGGAAGTCTGTGCTGATCCGCAGGATTACTCTTTTCTGGAGATGGTCTCCTTTCAGGCATGAGCTGCTGTCACTTGAGCTATAGCCTAAACTCCTTAAAGGGAGTTCTGTTAGGGATCTATAGGGGATTGCTATAGGAGTTATTAAGGGGGATACTAGGAGTTTAGACTATGACTCACTTCAGTTTCCACAATTCAGTGGTCGGCCCAAGGGTTTTTATGGCCCCGAACAATCGGCTCTTCTGAGTCGACGCCGTGATGTACAAAAATAGGAATGACGCTACAGAACGGTATAGTCCTCCTTCAGTAGGTAGAAGATGGGGTATATGGGGATCTTTTATCAGATACCCAAAGCCATATTCTATCTACTAAATGCGGACTATACCCATTGATGACAGCAGTGACAGGTGCGCAGACTGGGCTTGGAAGTCATAGCAGCCAGGGTTGAAAGAGTAACTGGAGGCCGAGCACCTGCTGAGAGAGGGCCGCCCCGGCCCGACACCGCCTGCAACTCAGACTCGTGACTTGGGAAAATGGAGCAGTGAGCAGCTGATCATAACAACAATGGTAATACTACTGAAGCTCATGTTACATATGTTACACAGAAAAAAAGACAATGTCAACAAAACGGTTCACACTCTCAAAGTTGTAGTATGACATTATTGATAATGATAGTAATAGTGTTAGTAGTAATAGGAATAAGGTACAGATAAAACTTGCTACTGCTACTGCTACTGCTGATTAGCTTCCAGTACACTGCCAGGCCAGCGCTGGCGCTGCTCTGCAAAGCATGTGCAAAGTTGAAGGCCACGTTCAGTGAACAGCTTAGACTTCCATGATTCAACATCCCTGCATTTCAGGTGCATGAAGTCCAGCTCTTCGAGGCTAGCGCCACCATGGATCGATCCACCAAAGTCTTGTTGTATTTGCAAAGGCGGTGCTTGCGCATGTCTCCGAGCACTGGTGCTCTTTGCTGTGGCTGTTGTTTGATTGTCACAATTATTGTTGTTGTTATTGCTGTTATGCACAGGTACGATTATCCCGCCGCCTGTTTGGCTGAGATCGGCCTGGCTTTAGCGCCGGTCATGCCCACCACAGAGACTGTGATGGATGTGCCCGCTGCCCAGTTCGAGGGTCCGGATGCCAGGGCTGAGGCGTGCTGGACCCGCACTATGCAGGTATCGAAGGATGTTCAACCAGATCCGACAGGATCGAGACACCTTGGGTCTAAGGCTGGCAGCATGCCGCATTCTTGTGAAAACATGCGGCTGAGCGTTTGCTTGGTTCAGGGAAGTTGGCATCGCTGCCCGCTTCATGGCAGAAGTGGATCACAAGGGTGAGTTCATGCCAGGTTTGGCACAGGCAGCGCCAGCTTGCGACACCTCGGTGCATGGCATTTCTACATTTGTCAGGCACTCTCACGACGTCTCATGGACCTCAAAGATGAGACACGAGAATGTGTCAGTCTCAGTTGCTGGGGGCCTGCGCGTTTTGGGCATGGCGCAGATGCAGCACTTCCCTTTAAGCGGGCAGGTTACGACGTGGCCCGCGTGGCAGAAATATTCTCCAGACGTTGTGGGCTCCTGAATTAGACGCAGCAAGTTGAATTGTAACTTTTGATGAAGTGCCCCCAAGGTCCAGATGAGCATGCTTTGTTCTCAACGCTTTGCCCGGCGCTCATCACAGGATTTCTCTTGGCTTACTTTAATCGATGCAAGCACACCAAATGAACACTTGCGCAGGTCGACATTTGCATCGACACCTCGGCTTCTTTGAGCCTGTAGACTTTGTCCGATTTGCGAGAGGCGGCTCCTGTTTGTAGCCTGTAGGCAGCACCCTGTTCAAAGTACATGCGTAGGTGCAACTTCCAGTGGTAGTATCGCGCATGTGTCCATACGTGTCTGGAGTTGTGCAAGCAGGTTTGGCAGGAGCCGAGTGACCTGGCACCTTTTATGGCTGTGCTCGCCGGCTGTACTGTCTCGATGGAATGTTCTCTTCAAACAGGTTGTTTGCCGGCAACATGGATTCTCCGCTGTGCTTCACTACGGTCCAGTCTTTTGCATAGATCGCCAGGTATCGCGACGACCGCGTCGCCCATGCACTGCCCAAATGGGCCTGCTACTTGTGAAGATGTGTGAGCAAAAGTTGCAGTATCCGATGCATCCGATGCTCACGGTGCGCAATGACAAGCCGCTTAGTGCCCTTTGACAAGAAGCCCAAAACCATGATATGGGTTTTGGGCATATGAACTATAGTCTAAACTCCGAGTATGCCCCTGACCAACCTTTTGTAACCCCGTTTTCAGGAGTTTAGACTATAGTTGATATTGGCTTCTGTAGGCCTACAACGGGGCATGCCCAGAAGCCACGGAAGGGTCCCTTTCTGGGGGCGTCCTGACGCGCGAAATGCTGCGCTGGCTAAAGGAGGGAAGGGAGATGGCATGTGAGGCCTAGGGAAAGAGGTGTAAAAATTGGCAAAGCTCTGCGCCCCTTGGGTTGTCCTGCGACAAGTGCGAAAGCCTACGTTGTGGCTTAAAGCAGGACAACAAGTTGGGCAATCGGATGCTTCGCCCATTGCGTTATTGGCTTTGCGCGGCCGGCACAGCTGTCCCGTTTAGGCATGGCTGCTTTGCTCACCGTATGCTCTCGGAACGCAAGCGTTATTTTGGTTTGGGCATCGATGCTCTTGTCACCGCATGCTCTTGCAACGCCAACGGTACGATGGCTTGAGTATGGATGCTCAGGAGTTTCAGGCGGGAGAGCTTTGGTAGCCGACGCAGAAACATGCATTTCCTCAGGGTCACTTGGGACAAGACACTTAAATGCGGAAACAACTGCTGGGATCTCTCGGGATTGTTTCCCGAAATGTAGTTCTCGCTGTGCGCGCGGAAGCATGCGGAAGGTTTCGCGGAAGCATGGTGCTCGCGGAAGATCTTGCGGAAGCTCCTGGCGACCCTCCGTAAGACTTGAAATGCTATTCGCGGAAGCATCGCGGAAGCACCTGCCAAGAAATCATTGCGGAAGGNNGCGGAAGCTCCGCGGAAGCTCGCGGGCAGACGGGTTGTTATTTCCAAACAAATCAATAAGGAATAAGAACCACAGCTCATCCTAGCTTGGGTACAGGGAGAATGTTTGCAAGCGAATGTGGGCCTAGTTTGTGCTTGCTAGTGCTATGACTTTGTTGAAGCCTTAGGCCGAGAAGCGACTGAAGGAGTTCTCCGCTCACGACTGGGTGCCGCCTGCTCAATTGAAAGCTGCGTGAGGAGGCGTGAGGTCCACCATGTAAGATAGTCCACAGATGTCCACCGTTTTTGATACCAACAGCATGCATTGTGAGTGTTTGAGTTTGCCTCTGCCACTGCTGCAGCCGCTGGCCACACACCTTCATCGCACACAGAAACATGGCAGGACTCCTTCGTAACTTCGATGGGCAGACTAGGAACCTCTCAAGAACGTGTGGCTCAACTTCGAGACATCGGTCCCGGACGTAGCTAGCGCCACCAGCGTGAAAATTGTAAGCTTGGTATAGCAACTCCTGATGATGAGGTCCTGCGCCGCCAGTAGAGCTAGCTACGTTCTCAGGAGGCCATCGCGCAGCGCTTTCAGTCGCAGGCCCAGATAGCAGAGAGCACTTGCGATGATCCTAAGTGCACTTGGCCAAGAGCCGTTTGTCTGAGACTAAGCTGCTTGTACCAGCTGTACAGCCACACTCTGTGCTATGGTTGCTTGGAAAACTGCTTCAGGCTGATCGCCGGGCGGTTGCATCCCCATAGCCTTTGGCGAAAAGTCTCATCGTCTGCGTTCTACTCGTCTAGGCATTTCAGGATGTGACTCCAATTCTGAAATAGCGGAATCCCACTTCAGATTCCCGCTTCATACTCGCATGCTACAGGTGCATTTTGAGGGGTAGCTTGGTTGCTTTTGGATGTGCCTCTCTCTGCTTTGCTCAAGCTTGCAAACTGGCCACCCTCAGCGCGAGGCCAGGGCTTGGACATTTCAACATCATCGTGCGTGGAAGTTGCATGTGAGCTATAGCCTAAAGTCCTTAAACGGGGTTATATAGGGGATTGTATAAAGGAGTATTATAGGCGTTACCAAGAGGGATACTAGGAGTTTAGACTATAGCTCATGTGCATGATAAACCCTAAGCTCTAAATCCTAAGGGAAAGTCAAATCAGCAGGTAGTTGGCGTTCGTGACCGACATGAGCAGGCTTGGCTACTACTTTAATATACTATAATATGCTATAGTTTACTACATTGTACTCGAATATACTATAATACAGGTCTATTATACAATAACTCACTATATTATACTTTAATATACTATGATACACGTCTATTATACCATAATCCACTATATTATACTCTAATATATTATAAGTATAACTAGAATATTTATACTATAACTTACTATACTATACTCTGATATACTAGTACACTATAATATACGAATGTTATCGTGAGGCCACTCCTTCAGCTTTTCTGTACCTTGAGGTTCGCCGCGCCGGCAGATTGTCAGGCTGGAGCTTTGACTGATGAGCTCCTCAAGGGTTATTATTAGACATCCTACTATTATTACAACTATTACTATTATCACTGTTATTACTACTATCACTACTATTACTATTATGATTATACTTAGTATTCTTACTACTATTACTATTATTACTACTATTACTATTAAGACTATGATTAATGTTATTCCTATTATTGCTGTCAGTAAGCTATTATTATTAGTGTCAGTACTAGATTATATTATTGCCTCCGAAGGAGAGGCTGGTCGAACTGCACAAGCGCTTTGGCTTCAGCGAGGACGACTTTGAGCCCTGCACTGAGAACTACATTGCTGTGATAATAGTAATAATAGTCATAATAGTAAAGAATATGAATCATAGTCATAATAGTAGTAGTAGTAGTAGTAGTAGTAGTACTTGTCGATGTGCAGCCGCCTGCCTGGCAAAATGCAGGTGCTTTCAGGCGAATTTCGGATCACTCACCTCTGCAAAGCTACCGCAGCTTCCATCTCAGAACCTCAGCGATGTCGTCTTCCAAGAGACCGACTCACAGTGGCCAGGCTCGAATCCTTCCTGCAGAAAGAAAAGGACAAGCGCGCGCCAAAGAAGCGCGCCCACCTTGTTCTTTGAGTCAGAGTAATGGTCTTTCTGATGCTTACAAATTGTGGCTGTCAGGCCGCCGGTCAGCCAACAGGCTCGTCCTTTGCGAGGCACGTGCCTGGACAGCTGGGTTTCTGCGCCTGAAACTGACGTAAGATTGTGGCTCATGTCTAAAGTCCTCCATCAAAGTCTCCTCAATGCTTTGCACATTCCCGGAGGCTTAGGTGACGGCCTGAAACGTCAATGGCAGGGGCAGGCCGGGCCGCATTTGCACTGTTCAAACCTGGACGACACGCGTTGGAGCCAAGCTCGAAAGGCGTTGGCCCAACATGCCAAACGAGCGCGCGAGGCTTGTGTGGCATCACCGTAAGTCACCCTGTTCATCCTATTCTGAAGATGCTAGATTTAGACTGACATTTGGAAGCTGTGTTGAAGGAGGAGCCAGTTGGGGCGCTGCAGAATGCCCCACTGCATACGGAAGGCGCATCAAACAAGCTGTCAAAGAGTACTCAAACCCTGTGCAGGGTCTGCCTTTCGGCCGATTGGAAGTGCACATTGTTCATACTGGCTTGACGTGACTGCAAGGTGGCATAGTGCCGCTGCACGCGGAACGCTTGCAGGCGAGCAAAACAGCAATGGACAACGTGCACAGATTTTTGCGACTTGACCTTTGCTTCATGCACCGTCTGGCATGTGACGTAAGCCTGCCCTGTCAACACTGGTTCACAATCATGGTCAGTCGAAAGGCGTCCGCCGCGAACAGCGCCGACTCTTCTAGCTTGGTTTTGAAACCATCTCAGCCAGACGCCTAGGTTGGCACGTCGTGCGGGAGACCAGCCTGTGCTTACAAAGATGATCAAAGATGATTGGCTTGAAGCATTTTTCCAAGGTTGGCCGCGGCGAAGATTACGGAGCCTGCAGGCCCTCGTGCTTGGCGTATGCCTGCTCTGCGCCAATCGCATCCTCTCTGGTTTTCGAGTGCTCTCTCGGCTCAGAAGCTGAGACTACTGTGAACTGTCTCCATGTGCCAATGCAGCCGCGGCGAGGGTTTTCTGGTGTCCTCCTGGTCTCACTCCTTATTCATCTGCATTGGTCACTGTGCTGGGTGGCTCCAGCATCGAGGGCTTCAAGTAGCAACTGTCACAGGCTCACAATCGTGTTGGTCACCTCACCTATCCCCTCGCATCCCTCCACGGAGTTGATTGACCAGGTCATCCAAAGCTTTGATCTGGTAGAAGGCTTGGAGGCTTGTCCTCTGATCATTGTTGCGGATGGGTTTCAGATTCGTGAGGGCAAGCCCGCATGGAACCAGGGTCGGATCGATGAAAGCTCTGGTGATCGGTACTTGAGGTACATCGATGCTCTCAAGTCAAAGTACGAGTCAGCAGGCAGTGCAGATGCCAGACGTGCGGTAAAGGTGATTGGCCCTCTGACGAAGCGCGTCAACTTTGGGCATGCTTTGCTCGCGGGCCTGTCCGAAGTGCGTACAGAATTTGTTCTTGTAGTTCAACACGATCGAGTGTTTGCTGAACCTTTTGCCATGGACGAAGTGCTTCGCCTCTTCGACGCGCACCATAAAATCAGATATGTTGGATTCCAGACGGTGCCTGACTACGTCACATATGCCGTGAGCAAGTACGGCGGCTGGGCACGCTGCAAGGTTTCAGACCAGACAACCGGCTTAATTCCTTGTTTTATTTGGTACGACTCGACCCATGTCTGCCGAGCACAGGATGTAGCGGCGCTCATAGAGAAGGAGGTCAAGCCCGGAGAGTTCATTGAGAGTTCATTTGGCTGCAGGCTTCTGGCAAGCATTCAGCAGAAGAAAGATGAGTGGAGCTTCGCCTATCACATGGAGAACTACGGAGTGTTTCTCTACTACGAGCCCACGGTGCGCACGGAAGGTAGGCAAATCAAAAACAACCTTGATGGTAAGGCTTGTGCCAAGTGCATCATAACGTAGGGCTAAGACTTTTTCAACATCATGGTCTAAGCCACGGGGCACTCTGCATGATGTATGGCTCTATCACATCTTAGCCGGAACCTTGGTGTCCCAAATGTACTATAGCCTAAACTCCTTGAAATTGGGGCTATACAGGGAATCAAAAAGCGGACCACTGTAGCGGTGATTCAGGGGGATGCTAGCAGTTTAGACTATAGCTCAGATGGCAATTATACCCAAGAACTCCCGTGTAGCTGAAAGGATAGCAGGCTTTTCGGGCTCTGTGAGCTGTGTGTCAAGTCACCTCAAGCTGCGGCAAGCATTAGCAATCTACCCTGGCCCAGTCAGTAAAAACGATCCTCATGCGTTTCTTGATCATTCACGAAATCCCCTTGGCAACTTGAGCACTTCAAAGTACTGCTGCCCTGTCAAGGCCCACTTGTCAGGCATGTGAGTGGCCGATCTTTCGTCTCACGTGAAGACCGCATTAAGATGGGCTGGCCAGCAGAGAGGCCTTCAGTTTCTCGGCGCATCCGCCGAGAAAATACAGCGATCCTGGATGTCTTGAGTTCGGATGGTAGCAAAAGAGAAGCACCCCTGCATCTTTTACGTGGAGACTCCGCAAGTTATTGCTTGGTTCTTGCAAGCCATCCAACATGCCCAAACTGAGGGCAAAGTAGAAACCTGGAACCTTGACATGTTCAGGTGCCGAAAAGATTGGGTCCTACAGGTGGATGAATGAGGCCTGAATGAGCTGCAAGTGTCAGCTTTTTCAAGCTGATCTGTATGGCTTCGTTTGATGTGAATCTTTTGGGGTGTCCCTGCAGACTGTTGCAGCTCGCGCAGTACGCCGTGATGAGCGACTACAGGCAGGGCTCAGGGCCAAGTCAAGTGAGAGCACCGCCCCCTCACTGCAGGAATGGGAGCCTATGTTAGTTTCAGAATTGCAGCGCCGAGATCCCGAGGCCAGGCCAGCAGCAATATTGTGGGACGTCTTACTTCTTACAAATTCAGGCTGCTGTCGGCACAGTGGGCGCCTGGCGCTCTGCGATCTTCAAAGTTGCATTGACAACGCATACATCTGGGCCCAGGTGATCTGTCAGAACGAGAGCATTTTGTGCGGGCGGATTGCGTGTGAGGCGTGGCCGTACATCTGGCGTTGCCAAGCCACTTTCATAATATTCGATCAGGAACTATCTTTGTACCTGACTTTACGCATCCCAATCCTCACTGCCTCGCTCACGCCATGAGGCTGACACGGCATGTCCCAGCTCTAGTGCAAAACTGGCAACAAATACCTCCCCCAGGTGTGCAAAGGTAGTATACGATGAGCTCACCGGGGTGCACAAAAATATTTGTGAACCTCAATTTGGCACTTCTTAGGGGTCACAGCTCCAAAATGGGAAGGTAGTTAACAGCATTCGTGCAAACGTTGCAGACAGGGCAACCCTCAAAGAGTCTGAAATGATTGGCTGACAAAGTTGGAGCTCCTTTACAGAACTTGATGTTGTGCTCGTGCAGGTCTCAGCCATGTAACAAGGATGATCATCCTTTAAATGGCTACCTGCCTCCTTTAAGCATTTTTCCGGAATGCTCCGCAGAAGGGTTCCCGT